ACGGAGTACACACACACGGGACACACACGGGGTACACACACACACGGAGTACACACACACACGGTATACACGGAGTACACACACACGGGACACAACACGGGGTACACACACACACGGGACACCACACACGGAGTACACACACACACGGTATACACGGAGTACACACACACGGGACACACACGGGGTACACACACACACGGAGTACACACACACACGGTATACACGGAGTACACACACACGGACACACACGGGGTACACACACACACGGAGTACCACACACGGTATACACGGAGTACACACACACGGGACACACACGGGGTACACACACACACGGGACACACACACACGGAGTACACACACACACGGTATACACGGAGTACACACACACGGGACACACACGGGGTACACACACACGGGACACACACACGGAGTACACACACACACGGTATACACGGAGTACACACACACGGGACACACACGGGGTACACACACACACGGAGTACACACACACACGGTATACACGGAGTACACACACACGGGACACACACGGGGTACACACACACACGGGACACACAACACACGGAGTACACACACACACGGTATACACGGAGTACACACCACACGGGACACACACGGGGTACACACACACACGGAGTACACACACACACGGTATACACGGAGTACACACACACGGGACACACACGGGGTACACACACACACGGAGTACACACACACGGTATACACGGAGTACACACACACGGGACACACACGGGGTACACACACACACGGGACACACACACACGGAGTACACACACACACGGTATACACGGAGTACACACACACGGGACACACACGGGGTACACACACACACGGAGTACACACACACGGTATACACGGAGTACACACACACGGGACACACACGGGGTACACACACACACGGGACACACACACACGGAGTACACACACACACGGGTATACACGGAGTACACACACACGGGACACACACGGGGTACACACACACACGGAGTACACATACACGGTATACACGGAGTACACACACACAGGACACACACGGGGTACACACACACACGGGAACACACACACGGAGTACACACACACACGGTATACACGGAGTACACACACACGGGACACACACGGGGTACACACACACACGGAGTACACACACACGGTATACACGGAGTACACACACACGGGACACACACGGGGTACACACACACACGGGACACACACGGAGTACACACACACACGGTATACACGGAGTACACACACACGGGACACACACGGGGTACACACACACATGGGACACACACACACGGAGTACACACACACACGGTATACACGGAGTACACACACACGGGACACACACGGGGTACACACACACACGGGACACACACACACGGAGTACACACACACACGGTATACACGGAGTACACACACACGGGACACACACGGGGTACACACACACACGGAGTACACATACACGGTATACACGGAGTACACACACACGGGACACACACGGGGTACACACACACACGGGACACACACACACGGAGTACACACACACACGGTATACACGGAGTACACACACACGGACACAACACGGGGTACACACACACACGAGTACACACACACGGTATACACGGAATACACACACACGGGACACACACGGGGTACACACACACACGGTACACACACACACGGAGTACACACACACACGGTATACACGAGTACACACACACGGACACACACGGGGGTACACACACCACACTGGACACACACACACGGAGTACACCACACACACGGTATACACGGAGTATCACACACACGGGACACACACGGAGTACACACACACGGGACCACAACGGGGTACACACACACGGGACACACACGGGGTACACACACACGGGACACACACACACGGAGTACACACCACACGGTATACACGGAGTACACACACACGGGACACACACGGGGTACACACACACACGGGACACACACACACGGAGTACACACACACACGGTATACACGGAGTACACACACACGGGACACACACGGGGTACACACACACACGGAGTACACACACACACGGTATACCACGGAGTACACACACACGGGACACACACGGGGTACACACACACACGGAGTACAACACACACACGGTATACACGGAGTACACACACACGGGACACACACGGGGTACACACACACACGGGACACACACACACGGAGTACACACACACACGGTATACACGGAGTACACACACACGGGACACACACGGGGTACACACACACACGGAGTACACACACACACGGTATACACGGAGTACACACACACGGGACACACACGGGGTACACACACACACGGAGTACACACACACGGTATACACGGAGTACACACACACGGGACACACACGGGGTACACACACACACGGGACACACACACACGGAGTACACACACGGTATACACGGAGTACACACACACGGGACACACACACGGAGTACACACACACGGTATACACGGAGTACACACACACGGGACACACACGGGGTACACACACACACGGAGTACACATACACGGTATACACGGAGTACACACACACGGGACACACACGGGGTACACACACACACGGGACACACACACACGGAGTACACACACACACGGTATACACGGAGTACACACACACGGGACACACACGGGGTACACACACACACGGAGTACACACACACACGGTATACACGGAGTACACACACACGGGACACACACGGGGTACACACACACACGGGACACACACACACGGAGTACACACACACACGGTATACACGGAGTACACACACACGGGACCACACACGGGGACACACACACACGGAGTACACACACACGGTATACACGGAAGTACACACACACGGGACAACACACGGGGTACACACACACGGTATACACGGAGTACACACACACGGGACACCACGGGTACACACACACACGGGACACACACGGGGTACACACACACACACACGGAGTACACACACACGAACGGGACACACACGGGGTACACACACACGGGACACACACACACGGAGTACACACACACACGGTATACACGGAGTACACACACACGGGACACACACGGGGTACACACACACACGGGACACACACACACGGAGTACACACACACACGGTATACACGGAGTACACACACACGGGACACACACGGAGTACACACACACGGGACACACACGGGGTACACACACACGGGACACACACGGGGTACACACACACGGGACACACACACACGGAGTACACACACACACGGTATACACGGAGTACACACACACGGGACACACACGGGGTACACACACACACGGGACACACACACGGAGTACACACACACACGGTATACACGGAGTACACACACACGGGACACACACGGGGTACACACACACACGGAGTACACACACACACGGTATACACGGAGTACACACACACGGGACACACACGGGGTACACACACACACGGAGTACACACACACACGGTATACACGGAGTACACACACACGGGACACACACGGGGTACACACACACACGGGACACACACACACGGAGTACACACACACACGGTATACACGGAGTACACACACACGGGGACACACACGGGGTACACACACACACGGAGTACACACACACACGGTATACACGGAGTACACACACACGGGACACACACGGGGTACACACACACCACGGAGTACACACCACACCGGTATACACGGAGTACACACACACGGGACACACACGGGGTACACACACACACGGGACACACACACACGGAGTACCACACCGGTATACACGGAGTACACACACACGGGACACACACACGGAGTACACACACACGGTATACACGGAGTACACACACACGGGACACACACGGGGTACACACACACACGGAGTACACATACACGGTATACACGGAGTACACACACACGGGACACACCGGGGTACACACACACACGGGACACACACACACGGAGTACACACACACACGGTATACACGGAGTACACACACACGGGACACACACGGGTACACACACACACGGAGTACACACACACGGTATACACGGAGTACACACACACGGGACACACACGGGGTACACACACACACGGGACACACACACACGGAGTACACACACACACGGTATACACGGAGTACACACACACGGGACACACACGGGGTACACACACACACGGAGTACACACACACGGTATACACGGAGTACACACACACGGGACACACACGGGGTACACACACACGGTATACACGGAGTACACACACACGGGACACACACGGGGTACACACACACACGGGACACACACGGGGTACACACACACGGGACACACACACACGGAGTACACACACACACGGTATACACGGAGTACACACACACGGGACACACACGGGGTACACACACACGGTATACACGGAGTACACACACACGGGACACACACGCCTGAGTCCACGAGAAAGGGGAGGCGGGCCCTGCGCGTGGTCATTCAGTCCCGTGACGTCACGTCCCTAAACACGTGACGTCACGTCCGCCCGCACGCCATCGCTGCCGTGATGATGGCCGCGCTTCTGCGGGGCCGCGGCGCCCGGGAGGAGGCAGAGGAGGAGGATGCGGGGGACGCCAACGGCGGATTCAGAACCCCCACGGCGGCCGAGTCCGCCCCGAACCCTTCCGCGCCAACGGCGGCTTCATCCGCGGCGTGGCGCGCCGAGAGCGTCGGGTTCACGGAGCAGCAGGGCGCGGGGGCCGCGGGGGCCGCGGGGGGCAGGAGTCGAAGGGCGGGTGAGGGGAGGGACACGAGTGTGAGGTGGTGGTGGTCTGGGGGGCTTGTGGTGTGTGTGAGGCGTGTGTGGGGTGTACGTAGGGGGTGAGGAGTAGTGTGTGTAGTGGGTGTGTTGTGTGTAGGGGGTTAGGAAGAGTGTGTGCGTGTGTAGGGGGTGAGGAGAAGTGTACGTGTGGTTTGTGTGTAGGGGGTGTGTGTAGGGTGTGTTTGAGGTGTGGACCTGTGTGTGTAGGGTGTGTGTGGTGTATGTGTGGAGAGTGCACTGGTGTGTCGGGCTGTGTGCACGCCGGGCTGTGTGCACGCCGGGCTGTGTGCACGCCGGGCTGTGTGCACGCCGGGCTGTGTGCACGCCGGGCTGTGTGCACGCCGGGCTGTGTGCACGCCGGGCTGTGTGCACGCCGGGCTGTGTGCACGCCGGGCTGTGTGCACGCCGGGCTGTGTGCACGCCGGGCTGTGTGTACGCCGGGCTGTGTGTCGAGTGCACAAGGGTAAGGAAGATTGTGTGTGTGGTGTCTAAGGTTAAGTGTGCGTGAGATGTATGTATGGTGTATGTGGTGTGCGGTTTGTTTGGGAGGCATGTTGTGTGTGGAGTGTATGATGTGTGTGGTGTGTTATGTTCGTGGTGTCTGTGTGGAGTGAGGGGCGGTATTGTAGCGCTTAGCGTGCTGCGCTACGAACCCAGTAATCCAGAGTTCGATTCTCACTCACGTCCAACACCGGTGGCATTCATTTTAATTGGTCATGGGCCTCGCCTCGGTCGACTCGGCCTCTGAGTAATCGGTGCAATGTCTAAACATCGCCACTAAGGAGACAAAGGCGGCCGGGCGTTGTGCTGGTTACCCCAACCCCTTTGCTGTTCCGGCATGCTCACGAATTGGGCCTGTCCCAAAAGGGATCTTTAGTGTGTAGACTGTGGTGTGTATGGAGTGAGTGTTATGTATATCAACTGTATGGCGGGACCCCAGGGTCCCATAAGCCCCCGGCTCTCGCATAAACATAATGTAAACAAAAACTTTGCTTTTTTTCACCAATGGGTTTGAAGGATGGTGGCAAGTGTTGTTAAACTTTGCCTTTAAAACTTAAAACTACTTACCTGCAATACCTCTATTTAAAACACTATCGAAAAAATTATTTACACCCCTCAGTCAATAATCGTGTTTCTCAGTGTGGATTTGTGAACACACTTTGTAAACAGTACATAACATAGTACGCGTTTTCAATGCGCTGTTCATATTGTAACACGCGTTTATACCAATGTTACTCTACAGAGTAGTGGGTCGTTGCTCCTCTTATCCGCATTGATACGAACGGTATGTGGGGACTTTGGCTTAACATAAAAAAACCTATCTGCACAGATGCATACGGACAAGAGAAGTATTATCAAGCAGGAGGAATTAACGGTACAATGCATGTCATCTGTTAAATATCTGCAGGTAATAGGATTGTCATAGATTGATCCTGGCAGCAGACATTGGTAGGTCACAAATTATAATGAAGATAAGAGAGCAGTTTCACTGTGTTATGCATACTGTTATGACAAATACAGGACTTAAGTCATGTAGGCAGTTTGAGCAACTTTGGATAAGACTTATGATCCTGCCCATACCCGAGCATGGAGTGCAGCATTCGTCCTCGCTACGCTTGGACAACAAGACACAGAATGATCTGTATCAGGCGGGTCGCGGCGTTTATGTGCGCGGTGGTGGGACGGAGTCGCCAAAAATAAATTAATTACGATTTTGACTTCCGTTTATTCCGGACCCCGACGTCCCGCCATAAGGTTCATATGATGGAGATGGTGTGTGTGTTGTGTATAATGTATATAGCGTGTATGCATACAATGTGTGTATGTTGTGTGTGCGTGTTTATATTTGTGGATCGTAGAGTGTATGATGTATGTGATATGTATGCCATTTGTGGTGTGTATAGTTTATATATAGTGTGTGGTGTGTACGCTACGTGGAAGATGTACATGGTGTGTATCTGTATAGTGTATACAGTATGGGGTGTATGGTGGGTATGTCGTGCATGGTGTGTAATATATGATGTGTGTGAAGTGTCTTGTGTGGCTGGTGCATGCGGTGTATATGTTAAATGTGGTGTGTGTGTGTGTATTTGGTTTGTGGTGCGTCTCATGTGTACATTGTATATAGAGTGTGTGTGGTGTTTATTTTGTGTACAGTATTGTGTATGTGGTCTGTATGTTATGTGTAGTGTGTGGAGGATATTGTATGTCTTACGTATGTTATGTGGTACATATGAAGTGTATCGTGTATGTGTTGTGTATGTTATATGTGGAGGGTATAGCATGTGTGTATATTGTTATGTGGTGTGTATGTTATATGTGGAGGGTATAATATGTGTATGTATTGTTTATGTGGTGTGTCTCGTGTATTTAGTGTGTCATGTATGTAGTGCATACACGTCGTGTGCCGCGTGTGTACAGTGTGGAGCGTACACGTGTGCCGCGTGTGTACAGTGTGGAGCGTACACGATGTGTGCCGCGTGCGCACAATGTGGCGTGTGCCCAGGTGTGCTGTGCTTCCTGGCGGAGGAGCTGGCACGTGGGTACCAGCTGGAGCGGAACGAGGCCTCGTACAGCGAGCGCAGGCAGCGCGTCTACACCTTCCTACGCATCCCGCGGGAGCTTGAGAAGGTGTGCGCCCTGTGTATGTGTGTGTAAGAGGGTGTGCGCACCGTGTGTGTGTAGATGTAAGAGGGTGCGCCCCACGTATGTCGAGGTGTAAGACGGTGTGTTCGCCGTGTGGGTGTAGGTGAAAGAGGGTGTCCACCGTTTGTGTGTAGGTGAAAAAGTGTGTCCACCGTGTGTGTAGGTGTAAGAGAGGGTGCGCCCCGTGTGTTTGTAGGTTTAAGAGGGTGTGCGCCCCATGTGTGTAGGTGTAAGAGGGTGTATGCCCCCTTTTATTGTGTGTGGGAGAGGGTGTAAGAGGGTATGTGGTTGAAGACTGGTCCCAGCGTTGTCAAGGTCAGCCTCTTTTGAGGGGGCTCGTGAAATTGGAGGCAGCACAGAGCGCCAGGTAGAAAATATGCAGCTGGCCTGGAACAAGCCCCGTGGTGACATCATCGCTACTTAGCGGCAGCTCCTGTTGTTGCTGCACCGTGTGTGAGAAGGTGTGCACACTCGCTGTGCATGTAGAGTGTGTATGTGCATATAGGTGTATGTTCTTGTCCGTGCATGTCTCTCCGCGCGTGCAGCTCATGGCGTTTGGCTCGTGTCTCTGTCTTGACGCGTTCCTCTTCGTCTTCACGCTGCTGCCGCTGAGAATCGGCCTGGCACTGCTGAGGTTGTGCACCGTCCCGTGCCGGCCACATGGGTACCACCGCACATCATGCCGGACCATACAAAACCACCACACACCATCATATGCCACCCCATACACCACCTACACATCATTATGTATGTATGTTCAACTTTTTTCACACCACACGTAGCCAACTGTGCTATATTTCATATTCACCACACGCCATATTAACCGTTATCACGAAAGACAAAGATCCCCCATATAGGCTTAACAGACTCGAGGCAAATGCTGTTAGCGAGCACCTAAGAAGGCCGGCACGGCACACTTGGGGGTGGGTGGCCAGCACCACACCCGGCCTCCTTTCTCGTCCAAGTGGCAATGTTTACACATTGCACCAGGTACACATCAGAAGCTGAGTCTACCTGTTATTGGCTGTGAGGGGGAATGCAACTCGGGTCACTGGGTTCTTAGTGCAGAGCACTAACCGCTACACTTCCTCTCTCTACACCACCGCATACACTGCACCACACACTGTACCATACAGGCCATCATACATCACCCACACATCACTATACATTACATGCCATATTCACCATTTTCCAGAAAGACAAGATCAAGTGCTGTTAGCGAGGACTTATGTATGCCGGCACGGCACACGAGGATGTAGGCGGCCAGCACTATGCACGGCCTTCTTTGTCTCCCCAGTACTGATGTTTACACACCGCACTAGATACAAATTTTAAGGCTGAGTTGACCTCGAGGAGGCTCAGGATCAGTTCAGATAATTGTCAGTGAAGTTGGCTGTGAGTGGGAATCAAATTCAAGTCGCCGGATTTGTAGCACCGGTCCCCACAATAATACACACAGTCATACCACCACAACACACCATATACCATCACAAACCAGAATGCACCATACCCTACATCACACCACGGTGTGTGCGTGTGTGCATGTGTACGTGCGCAGGCGTAAGCGTTGGCTGGAGCCAGCACAGGTGTGCGATATACTCAAGGGAGTCATAATGGCCGGTTGCTACGTTTTGATGCAGCACATAGACTACTCGATGACATACCACCTCATCCGCGGGCAATCGGTCATCAAGCTCTACATCATCTACAACATGCTCGAGGTGCATGTGCACACCGCACACACTGTCACACACCACACCACCATACACACCCCATCATACACCGTCACACACTACACCACTATACACTGTCACACACCACACCATCATACACTGCACCACTATACGCCGTCACACACTAAACTACCATACATGCACCAACACGTACCACAGCACCACCATACGCTGTAACACACCACTAGAGGCCGACCGAAACTGAATTTCTGGCTTCGGCCGAAACAGAAACTATGCCGAAAGAGGCCATTTGTCAACTTTCGGCGCCGAAACCGAATTTCAGTCGGCCTCTAGACGTGTCACAGACTCGCACACACACCAAAGCCTCCTCCTGCTGTGTGGAACCCATGTGGAGGAGGAGGTGGGGGTAGGATGGGGTGGTGGGAGGGTTGAATTGGATCATTGGAGGGGTGGGTTGATGTGTGTGTGGCTGGTGGGTGTATGAGTGAGTGAGTGTGCACGCGCGCGCGCGTATGCACACTGTTGGCATCAGCACGCTGCTATAATTAGCTCAGTCTGCTGTGCGTGCGCGCGTCTGTGTGCTGTGCGTGCGCCCGCGTGTGTGTGTGTTGTGTGTGCCTCGAGCTTGCCTGTGAGAGCCCAGCCTCTGAACCGCTCAAACAAAAGTGCTCCTGGTGGACTGCTGCTGCTGATGCGAGTGCTGGCTACGCATGTGCTGCTGCTGCTCGCTAGTTTGGTGGTTTTGGGGGGAAGTTATTTTTTTTTTATTCTTCTCCGTCGTCTGTCTTATCCCCCCTCACCCCCATCCTTGCTTGAGTGTGCGCTGCTTGCGATCGCCGGAGAGAATGAGAAGCGTCTGCCATCAACCACCGCTGCTGCTGCCCGGAGTCGCATGCGCGTGCGCACCTGTAGTTTAGAGGCCGACCGAAACAATATCTGGTTTTGGACGAAACCGAAAGTAAACCGAAAGTTAAAAATGTACTTTCGGCCGAAACCGAAAGTAAACCGAAAGTTAAAAATGTACTTTCGGCCGAAACCGAAACTCTGCCGAAAGAGGCCATTTGCTAACTTTCGGCGCCGAAACCGAATTTTGGTCGGCCTCTACACACCACACTAGACCACAATACACTGCACCACCACACACCGTAACACACCACACATGTGTAGGGGTTATTACGGGAGAAACGGCGGACGAGAAACACAGAGGTGTGTGCACTCACACACACGGGTGGTCGCACCGACGTCCGCATCCGTGATCCCCCACGCCCCCAAGCCCTCTGAGGGGATCCCTATAAAAGGCGGGGAGCCAGAGAGCTCGAGGCAGTACGACACGAAGCTGACCAGTGAAGATCGAAGACTCGGAGATTAGGCCCTGGGACTCCCCTGTCTCGCTGCCCTTGTCAGGGCCGAGCTGGGTAAGCCAGCGGCGCGGCCCAAGAGCTCCCGGACCTCTGCCCTTGTCAGGGCAAGGCCGGCTTAGCTGGTGCCGAGATCTGTGCTTGCCAGGGCCAGATCAGTCAGCCTCCCGTAGCCCAGTAGAGGAGGACTGGGGAACAGGACAGAGGGCATAGTACTAGGGTGGGTTTCCCATAGTACGGGTGAAGGGGCCATTACCCCTTCAACTATTGTGCCTGTCACTGAGTTAATAAACAGAGTGTGCCTCAATTCCGTCCTCGTCTCCTCGAACTTACTACATCTGGCGTCAGAAGTGGTCCAAGCATGGATACGAGACGGACGACTCGTGCCCAAGACCCAGGAGAGGATGACGACGAGGGAGAGGTGGTGCAAGACGTCGCCGCCAGCGTACCTGCACAACCGCTGCCGGCTCCAACACCTGCGGGGTCGTCGGAGAGGCTCGGGACGTCGGCTGACGAGTTGGCGTTGGCCCACTCGCGACTGGCGGAGCTCCTGTATGCAGCGGCCGCCATGCTGGAGCGGATAACTCGCCTGGGGCCGGGAGGAGCGACGCGGCGGGAAGATGGACAACGCCCGCCTAGAAACTCCCGCCTTTGCGATGGGCGGGAGGCTTGAAATTCCCGCCACGGGGACAGTAGGGGCTGAGGGAGGGGCCCCAGCTCGTCACGTGGGTGGCGGGGCCCAACCAGCGGGCGCCACGTCATCGGCGGGGGCGGGTCGCAGTGGCTGCCTATCAGGGGTTGCCACGTCACCACCAGTGGACGCCGGCACCGACCAAGCTGGAACCAGCGCGTCACGGACGGTGCGACCTCTAGTAGGGGCCGCCATTGCTCATACTGTCCATGGGGACAGTATGAGTGCTGCGACAGGATCGGGGACGGAAGCCGACATTTCAACAACGCCTGCCCGCCCTGCAGGTGTTCGTAGCAAGCGGCGGCGATTGGGGTGGGTTCCAGCGCCGGTTCCTCGCCCACCAAGAAATGGCTGCGTGGACAGACAACGAGGCGCTGTGTGCTCTCCCGGCGATGCTGGATGGCAACGCCCTGGGCACCCTCACTGCTGCACCCAGGTCGGCACGCTCCACACTTCAGTCGGCGCTGCAGCTGCTGGCCACGGTGTATGGGCCGCCTTCTGATTGTCGCCAGCTCTTCTACGAGCGACAGAAGGGCGACAAGGAATCACCACTTGCGTATCGCACGGCCCTGCTGTCATTGGCGAAGGAGGCCTTCCCGCGTATGGACGAAGAAGGGATCGATGCGATGGTGGCCGAGAAAATTTTGCTGCTGGCCGACGACTTGGACTTCGTCATCCTAGCACAGGATGATGCGGACATGTCGTCATTGCGGGCTGCAAGGCACATTCATGCCAATCTCATTTCCCAGCGGTGGAAGGCTAACAAGGCAGCTGCAAGACACACCGTGGCGGCGACCACTTCCGACTCTGAGGGAGCCTTCGCTGCGGACCGTTCTGCGGGATGGCGATCTGCCGAGCGACCGGCTCGGGACGTACCGAGCCACCGAGAGCAGCCCAAGTCTTCGGGAGCGCTCGTCACGTGCTACAATTGTGGCCTCCGGGGCCACGTGGCGTCGGGATGCCGGGCTCCTCGACAGCGTGGAGCGAGACCTGGGGCTGCGGACGGTCCTCTTCACAAGCCTTCGCAACATCCTCGGGCAAGTCATGGCACCCCACACGTTCGGCCTGCACGCACACCCACTTCCCTCTCACATGGTCCGACACACGAGTCTCGGGGTTTGGGTGCTGGTGCGTCGGGTCGCGGCTTGTCGGGGAGGGCGCTCCAACCGGGCCAATGGTCCGAGTTGGCTCACCGGGTTGTAGCTGCGTCGGCGGGGTCGTCCGTTGTCACGGGGCATATTGACGGGGTGGAGGTATGGGTACTGGTCGATACGGGAGCTTCGGCGACTATCATTTCGGATTTGATTTATAATATCCTGCCCGTTCAGAGTCGCCCATTGCTCCCTCTCGACATACCGTTTTACGCTGCGAACGGGGGCTCGTTAGGTATTATCGGCCAAATTCGAGCGCAAATTTCTATCGGGGACATTAAACTATCTGGCCCGGTATTCGTCTCCTCCTCGCTGGCAATTCCGTGCCTGTTGGGGACAGACTTTTTGGCCAAATTGCCCATCAAAATTTTGATTGACCAGCAATGCATCGAGCTTCCATCGGGCCGACGTATAACGTTCCTGCCTTCCACCCCTGCCTTGCATACTGCCTGTGCAACGGTACAGGCGCTTGTGGCTCAAACGGTGCGCGTACCCCCGGGGGCACAGATGCTGGTGCCCCTGCGGTTGCGTCGACCATTCGCTAAAGGGGTCTCAGACCAGGGCATTATGCTGGGCCCGTCTAGGGCCGGGGTGAATGGGCCAGATTTGGTGACGGCCCAGACTATTGTTAAAGGGGATGCGGACCCGTTTATCGCGGTCCTAAATGTCGGAACACGGACGGCGGTGGTTTCGCAGGGAACCGTGTTCGCACATGCAGTCCCGGTACCTGCGGAGATGCCGATCATTGGCCAGGTGGCCACCGATTCTCAGTCGCGGCTGCCCTCAGACATTGACGAGGGTTGGCTCGAGGCGCTGTGTGCTGAGTCACCTGACCTGTCCGACTCACAACGTGCTAAATTGCGCACCCTTTTGCGGGAATTTTCCGACGTCTTTAGTAAACATAAATACGATATCGGATGTACCAATTTGCTGCGCCACCATATTGACACCGGTGACAACGCTCCTATCCGACAAAATCCTTTTCGGTTAAGTCCCGCCGAAAAGGATCATGTCAAATCGGCTGTAGATGACATGTTGACTTCTGACATCATTTCTCCCTCGACCAGCCCTTGGGGTGCACCCATAGTGTTGGTTAAAAAGCACGATGGGTCCCTAAGGTTCTGCGTTGATTTCCGGCGGTTAAATAAGATCTCGGTGGCCGATGCTTACCCGCTTCCTCGAATGGACGAATCGCTGGATGCCCTCGCGGGATCGCGATTCTTCTCCACTTTGGATTTACTCTCAGGATTTTGGCAACTTCCCTTGGACGACGAGTCAAAGCCCAAAACAGCTTTCAGAACGCCGCACGGCCTCTTCCAATTCAATCGGTTACCCATGGGGCTCCACTCCGCTCCCGCGACGTTTCAGCGCCTGATGGAATTGGTTCTCGCTGGCTTGCAATGGGAGGTGTGTTTGATTTACCTAGACGACATTATCGTATTCAGTAAGACGTTCGAGGAACATCTTGATAGGCTTCGGGCCGTCTTTCTCAAAATGCGCGCAGCTAATTTGAAATTCAAGCCACAAAAGTGCCATTTGCTGCGCGAATCTGTTAAATATTTGTGTCACATCGTCGGCCGGTCAGGCATCTCAACCGATCCCGCCAAAACGCGTTGTGTCAGCTCCTGGCCAACTCCCACCTCGGTGGGGGAGGTTAGAAGCTTCATCGGATTTGCTTCATATTACCGCCGGTTTGTCGCGGAGTTCGCTTCCATCGCTAAGCCATTACATGCCTTAACGTCCAAAGGGGTCAAATTTCATTGGGGACCGGAGGAGGAGGCCGCTTTTAACTCTCTTCGGGATGCCCTGGTGGGGGCCCCGCCGTTAAGCTACCCCGATTTTTCTATGCCCTTCGTGCTCGACACGGACGCGAGCAATGCCGGGATTGGAGGCGTGCTGTCACAAATTGTGGGTGGCGTGAAGCGCGTTGTGGCTTATGGTAGTAGAGTATTGTCTCCGGCCGAACAGCGATACTGCGTCACCCGCCGCGAACTGTTGGCTATTGTTTTCTTTATCCAACAGTACCGGCCATATCTGTACGGCCGGCATTTCACCGTCCGTACAGATCATGCGGCGTTGCAGTATGCCCTGCGTATTCACCAGCCATCGGGGCAGTTGTCCCGATGGCTGGAGATCATTCAGGATTTCGATTTCGAAACAACTTACCGTAAGGGGATTCGCCACACCAATGCCGATGCCCTGTCACGCCTGCCGGTCGCTTCTGATTGCACCTGTTTCTTGGGCTCGGGGCGTTGCAAATCGGCAAACGACGGCCACAATCCGGTCCTAGCGGCCGCCGTTGAGGCCCCTTCGGACGTGGACCCTATTGCGGCGGGAGGGAAGGATTCCCTGTTGGGCTTGTCATGTGCGGAGTGGGGGCGCCTCCAAATGGAGGATGCTTCCCTCCTGGCGCTACGGCGTCGCGCGGAAGGATCCGCTCAGGGAAAGTCGGGCGTTGACTCATGGGGGTTGTGCCAGGGCCTCCTCATGCATTGGGACGGTACGATCCGCCGCCACAGGCTGGTGGTGCCTTCCGCGTTGAGGGGTAGGGCTGTATGGGCCGCTCACGAGCGGCTCCTGCACCTGGGCACCCTCAAAACCCTTGCCATGCTCCAGCTTAATTTCTTTTGGCCGGGCATGGCAAGGGATGTGGACGATCTCTTGCAATCTTGTACCCAGTGTGCTCAACGCAAACCGCCGGCGAGGGGAGCCTGCCCACCGCTCCAGTCTATTTCGGTCACCCGGGTTAATGAGCTTGTCGCCCTCGATATTTTGGGGCCGTTTCCCTCCACGCCGAGGGGTAATAAGTACCTGCTGGTTGGCGTCGAGTATTCACGCGATGGCCTATGGCTTGGTCCCTCGCCAACCAGTCAGCAGCGGCCGTTGCGGAGGCTTTTGTTCACGGCTATGTCCTTGACAAGGGCGCTCCGGAACGGTTGTTAACCGATCAGGGAAAGAATTTCACTAGTGCCCTTTTACACGAGGTGTGTGAGCTTCTGGGTACGAAGAAAATTCGTACTTCGCCTTACCACCCACAAACGGATGGGATGGTAGAACGCCAGCATAGGACTCTTACGTCCATGCTATCCCACCAGGTATCTGAGTCCCAAACCGACTGGGACCTTCAGATCCCTGGAGTCCTAGCAGCATACAGAATGGCTCCTCACGCGGTGACCGGATTCTCGCCGTTTTTTTTTATGTATGGCCGCGAAGTTGACCCACCTGTCGTGACTCAGCTGACATGTACCGCGCCGCACGCTAAATCTAAGTTGGCGGACCATGTTAAGTTTAACGTCCTCCGGTTGGCTGAGGCACGGGAGGCGGCCATGCAAAACTCTGCCTCGCGCCAGAAGCAAAACGAAAAGTTGCGATCGCGCCGGTCACACACGCACGAATGGCACCCGGGTGACAGAGCGTGGCTGCACTGCCCCCAGGTGCCATTGGCCACCTCGTCGAAGTTGTTGAGGCCGTGGAGGGGCCCCGTGGAAATTGTGCAGGTTATGCGGCCGCAATGTGTTCGCATTAAATGGGGGAAACGTCGGTGGTTTGTCCACCCTTCACGGTTGAAGCCGTTCTTTGCTCCACATGCTTCCTCTCCTGACTATGGCCGAACATGTGGGGGGTCCACTGACTCCGGGAGGGCGGGGTCGCCGTCTGCCTCTGATCCGCTGCTAACTGTTCCGTCTTCAGGGGTCCGAGGACTGATGCCCTCTCTGCCGCCAGCCTCCTCAAAGGAGGTCGACGCTGGCTCGTCCAGGATGCCGGTGCGCCGCGCACCTGTACATTCACCACCTGCCGCCGACCCTACCGGGTCGGGCCCTTGTGACGGGCCCGCTGCACGGACACGCGCCAAGACGCGCCGGTTATTGTAAAGTGCTTTCCGCGCGCGTTCCGCTGCTGGTGGGCTCACTCACCTGTTTTTTTTTTTTCCTGTTGTGTGCATGGGGATGGGGAACCACGTTGGGTATATATGTTGCATTTTGGGGAAGTGGGTACGTATAGGGGACCGTCGGTTGTTGTTGTTGTTGTTGTGTTGTTACACTTGTTCTTGTTATTGTTACGGTTACGAGGCACACGCGTGTTGACGGGGGTTAATCCTTATTCTTGGGGGTTGAGGAATTGTTGCAGCCGGGACGGCTGCGAGCTGTACAGGGGGGGGTGATGTAGGGGTTATTACGGGAGAAACGGCGGACGAGAAACACAGAGGTGTGTGCACTCACACACACGGGTGGTCGCACCGACATCCGCATCCGTGATCCCCCACGCCCCCAAGCCCTCTGAGGGGATCCCTATAAAAGGCGGGGAGCCAGAGAGCTCGAGACAGTACGACACGAAGCTGACCAGTGAAGATCGAAGACTCGGAGATTAGGCCCTGGGACTCCCCTGTCTCGCTGCCCTTGTCAGGGCCGAGCTGGGTAAGCCAGCGGCGCGGCCCAAGAGCTCCCGGACCTCTGCCCTTGTCAGGGCAAGGCCGGCTTAGCTGGTGCCGAGATCTGTGCTTGCCAGGGCCAGATCAGTCAGCCTCCCGTAGCCCAGTAGAGGAGGACTGGGGTACAGGACAGAGGGCATAGTACTAGGGTGGGTTTCCCATAGTACGGGTGAAGGGGCCGTTACCCCTTCAACTATTGTGCCTGTCACTGAGTTAATAAACAGAGTGTGCCTCAACTCCGACCTCGTCTCCTCGAACTTACTACACATGCACCACACGTATCACCACACCACCTTACACTGTCCCGCACCATGCCACCATACACGCACCATACGTACCACCACACCACACGGATCACCACACCGCCATACACCACTCCGCTATACAGTCAGACACCGCACGACACTACCATATACGCACCACATGTATCACCACACCACACGTATCACCACACCACTATAAACGCACCACACACCACCACACGTACCACCACACAACACGTACTACCACACCACCATACATGCACCACACGTACCACCACACCAGACATTCCACCACACGTACCACCACACCACCATACACTGTCACACACCACACCACCATACACGCACCACACGTACCTCTACACCATCATATACCACACCACCATACACTGTCACATACCATACTACCATACATGCACCACACCTACCACAACACCACCATACACCGCACTACCATACGCCGTCACACACCACACCACAATATGTGTAGTGGCATAGCGCTGGCTGCTGGCAGAAAAGGGGAACTGCGTCGTACGGCAGTCCTGACGTCAGCAGGCCAGGATATACACGATAGGGGGATCTAGGGGACACGTCACAGAAGGGGCCCACCAGGAACCCGCTAGTAGGTTCCAGAAAGGGGGCGTGGCCGGGGGTGGAGCGAGGCCACGCAGAGAGTGTAAGAGGGGCCCCTGTAGGGGACCTCGGGGCTGTTGTTGGAGTGGGATCCTTGTCGCGCTGCTGAAGTCCTTCGTCACCATTCTTCTCGTCGTCTTCACCATTCTTCTCGTCGTTGTCTCCGTCTCTACCATCTCGGGGTGCCACTAGTCATTCAGCCTACCAACTGTCCTGGCTGAGTGGCGTCGCCAATAATAGATGGACTAAATATTAAGTGTGTTAATCCGGATGGTAATCATTAATAAAGAAGTGCCTCCAAGTCTTATCATCTCCATGTTAGTCACTACAGGTGCACCACACGTACCACCATACCACATGTACCAACACTTGGTGGTGAACTGCAGTGGTGGTCCACACCGGGTACACACTGAGTGCTGTGTGTAGGGAGTGGTGGCGTTGTGGTTAGCACACTGCGTTATTAACTTGGCGACCTGAGTTCAATTCCTGCGCATGGTCAAAACTAGTGACGGTTATCTGAACCGATGCTGGACCTCGCCTGGTTTGACCCAGCCTCAAATGGATTCCTGGTGCAGTGTGTAGTAAATATCGCCATTGGGGAGACAAATGCTGCCGGGTGTGGTGCTGGCCACCCACGCCCTCTTGCACCGTCCCGGCCTTCGTAGGTGCTTGCTGATAGAACTTGCCCCAACAGTCTTAAAGGCTGCACGGGGGGTTGGGGGGGGGTCTTTGTCTTTGGTGGTGGTGAGTGCGGTGGGTGGTTGTTAGCGTAGCTCAAGCGATGATCCCGTTAGAGAGGAGATTGTCTCCGCGTGGCCACGGATCTCCTCTCCCTATCACCACGCAACACAGGGCCAGCGCTGGTGGGGAGCGGTGGCACCGCGGTTAGTGTTCAGAGTGTGGGCTACACGGGATCCGTCTCTATTGTGTCCGTGTGTAGGTGGCAGACCGCCTCTTCTCGTCGTTCGGCCAGGACATCCTGGACGCGCTCTACTGGACAGCGACGGAGCCACGTGCACCAACCCGCCACCGCCTGGGCCTCGTGCCTCACCTCTTCATGGCCGTGCTCTACGTCTGTATCCTCGCCCACCTCTTCGCCCACCTCTTCGCCCACCTCCTCAACCTCATGGTCAACAGCGTTTCAACACCATCAACCGTGTCATCAAACCTCATCATCATATCATCACTAACACCTTGGTAACACCTCCACATGGCTCTCGGTTATACCTCCTACACTTCTTTATCGACCTCGACCTCTCCACCACCACTACTGCCACCACTACCGTCATTAGCACCACCACTACCACCACCATCACCACTGCCATCACCGCCACCACTACTTCCATCACCACCACTACTGTCACTGCCATCACCACCACCATTACCACCACTATCACCACTAGCACTACTACTATCACCGCTATCACCACCATCATCCTCGTCTTTGTTGCCACCATCTTTGTGACGGGGTAGGGGTGTTGGGGATGATCACATCTCAATAACCCTTGACCCCTGACCTGCAACCTGGAAGTCCTGCACTCTATCCTGGTGCTGGTGCAGGCCACGACGCTGAACGTCGCCTTCAATTCCCACAACAAATCCCTACTCACCATCATGATGTCCAACAACGTATGGCAACACACGGGGGGACACACGGGTAGACACGGGTAGACACATGGGGGGACACACGGGGGGACACGCGGGGGTCACACGGGGGGACATGGGGAGACACGCGGACACAAAGGAGGAGACCTAAAGAGGGTAACACAAAGGGGGAGACGCACGGGGAGAGACAGGATCACACAGTGTGTGTGCGTGTGTCTCTGTAGGAGTTGACACGTGCATATGTGTGTGTGAGTGCGTTTGCAGTTTGTGGAGCTCAAGGGAAGCGTGTTCAAGAAGTTTGAGAAGAACAACCTCTTTCAGATGTCTAACAGTGGTGAGTAGGTCCCAGCAGGGCCAGGCAGAGCCAAGCAAACGACACTGTCCCCGTGTAGGATGCAAAGGTTGGGCTTTGCATCCTACACGGGGACAGTGGGGTGAGGGGGGCGACAGCGATTAGTGCTCGTCGCAAAGCCTGATAATCACGAGTAAGGAACCACATGATATGCATGAGACTCACGTGGGATACACAGTACAGACAAGTTACAGCGTACACACACAGTACACACGCAGCACGCACGCGACACACATGCAACACACACACAGGACACACACCGCACACACATGGCAATGGAGAGACATGAACACTGAAATATAGGGATATAGGCACGTTGACACACAGCACACGCACATAGCTCGACATGGAGACACGTGGACATGTGTGGTGACACACACAACACGTGGGACTCACGTGGGGGACTCTGACCCCATCCCTCTTTCGCCTCCCAGACATCCGTGAGCGGTTCCACAATGCCGTGCTACTCTTGGTTGTCTGTCTGCGCAACATGGAACAGTTCTCTTGGAACCCGGGTGAGGCCATCATCTCCTCCACCTCAACAACATCATCACCAGCAGCAGCAACAACATCGCCACATCACCGCAATCGAGTCGTTTGAGATGCTTCTCATTTTGTTCTCACGTCTCTGTTTTTCCGTGTCTCTCTCTCCCCACGTCCCCATGTCTCCCATGTCCCCATGTCTCCATGTCCCTCTCTCCCCACGGCCTCCTGTCTCCCATGTCCCCTTGTTTCCCGTGTCCCTCTCTCCCCACGTCCCCCTGTCTCCGTGTCCCCATGTCTCTGTGTCCCTCTCTCCCCACGTCCTCCTGTCTCCCATCTCCCCATGTCTCCGTGTCCCTCTCTTCCCACGTCCCCCTGTCTCCGTGTCTCCCGTGTCCCTCTCTCCCCACGTCACTGTGTCTGCCGCGTCCTCGTCTCTCCCATGTTTCCTGCAACCTCGTGTCTCCCGTGTCTCCATGTCCCTCTCTCATGTCCCCACGTCTCCCGTGTCTACGTGTCCCCCGTAGATCACCTGTGGGTGTTGGTCCCAGACGTCGCGATGGTCGTCGTTTCTGAGGTGGTGGTGGACTTTGTGAAGCACGCGTTCATCACCAAGTTCAACGACATCACCGACGAGGTGGCATCACCACCATCACTACCATCACCACTGTCCTGTCGTCTACGCTTCCAGTCTCCACTGTCCTTGTCTGTGCCTCCCTCGCTTTGCTGTGCCCAGTCTCACTCTCTCGCTCTGTCTCTTTTCTCGCTCCTCTTCACTGGAACCAACTCCCACTGCAGCATACAGAGCAATCATCTCCACTCACCTGCTTCTCTTTCTCGTCTCTTCTCCTCTAGCCCATCCTACTACTACGACCAGGCCTACCTCTACCCCAATCACTACCCCTATCACTACCCCAACCCCTGTCACTACCCCTACTGCAACCACTCCTTAACCACTCCCACCTATCCTCCTGTCACCATAACTACAACACCACTTTGAATACCCCACTTTTTTACCAATATCATCTTATGTACAATTTCATTATTGTTGTGCCTTGGATTAAGGTGTTATATAAATCTATATAAGATAAGACCACCATCACCATCAACACTATCACCGCCATCACCATCATCACTGCCATCAGTTAATTGAATGTTAAATTCTCAGAACTGGAACTCATCCAAGTTCAGTGCGGATTCACAGTCATTGTAATCAGGGGTTTTAGAGCAGTCACCGGTGCCTCGGCTGAGGCTATCAACCCTTCATGAAACTGAGAGTGAGAGAAGGCTGTTGTAATTCATTGTTGGTGGTGAATATAATTATGTGGTGGCAGTGATGGCGATGATGGTGGTGATGGTGATGCCTATGATTTTTCAGGTGTACAGTGAGTACAGGGCGAGTTTGGCCTTTGACTTGGTGAGCAGCCGTCAGCGATATGTGAGTAACATCATCATCATCGTCATCATCACAACCATCATCACCATCACTATCACGACTACCTTTACCACCATCATTACCATCACTGCCTTCACCTTCACCATTGCTACCACCATTATCTTCCCCATCATTACTATCATTATCACCATTGGCACATCATTTTCACCAACGCTATTTTCACCATTTTTACTATCACCACTATCAGATCATCACTACCATTACTTCCATCCTCACCATTACCATCATCACCATCGTCGTCGTTGCCATCATGTGGTGTATGTGGTGGGTATTGTATGTAGTGTGTATTGTATATGGTGTGTGTGGTGTGTAATGTTTGTGGTTTGTGTGGTGTTTAGGCTCACACTGATCACAGTGACTCAGTGTCTCGGCGAATGGGATTCATCCCTCTTCCTCTGGCAGTGGTGGTAAGACTTTCACATAGACTCACTCATACACAACAACAACAGCCCTCATTCGCCACTAAGTGATGGTGACATCAAGACAGCGCCTGTGCACCTTCACGCCACGTGAAGCGTCGAAGGGTCGCTCACAGGAGGTCATGGAAAAGACCCAGGTGCCATGGGTTGACTGAGATGACTGGCAGAGGGCACCACCTGTGCCTCGTACGGTGCCAATTTGTGCTGTGTTTTAGCCGCCGGGCACTCCGCTCGTTATGTGAGCGTTGCTCCTCTGCCCTCCGCTGTTGTTGGAGGGTGACTGTCCCCAACTTCCCAGTAGCGTCTTTTATGAGCCTCCTGCATAGAGGCCAATCTTGACACCGCTTGGCAAGTCTACTCGGTTCCACATCCTCCTGTACTACATCAGCCCATCTCTTTTCTAGCTTATGCTGTGCCCGTTTAGCCCCCTCGATCCGGTCAAACGAAAGTTGCTTGGGAATGCGGTGGATGGGCATGCGGGCTACATGACCCAGCCAACACAGCCTTGCCTGCCGGAGAACCTCACTGATGGGACAGTCTGGTTAAAGCCAGGATGGATCATAGGGAGGCCAGCCTGAATGTTTCTAACTGGTGCAGATATTCAAAGGGATCCATGTTTCGCAAGCATAGAGAAGGGAGGGCATAACTTTGGCCGAGAAGACCCGCAGCTTCGTGTGGAGTAATAGACCAGGTAGCGTCCACACAGCGTTACACAGCTGATCAAAAGATAATGCTGCTCGACTGATTCGGAGTAAGACCTCTGCTGCCAAACCAGAACGAGTCATGAGTACACTGCCCAGGTACAGAAACTTCTCCATTCTCTCTGCAGCTGTCCCATCACTCATGGGAGAGTGGAGGCGGTGGAGGCAAGTGCTTTGTTTTTGTGGGGCTGATGGTGAGGCCTTTCCAGGTTGTGTGGGGGAACGGAGTGCAGTAGTTGGCTCATCTAGCTACGAACCGAGTAACCCGCTTACGCCCGATAACAGCATTGAAGATCTGAACCATCCCTGCACCTCCCCTGGGTCGACTCGGCCTTAATTGAGTACCTGGTGAAGTGTGTGGGTGACAAAGGCGGCCGGGCGTGGTGTTGGCCACCCACCCCCTCGTGTGCTGTGCCGGACTTCATAGGGGCTACTCACTAACAGCGCTTGCCCCAACAGTTTGCGTGGGCTACACGGGAGTCTTTGTCAGTGTGTGTACTGTGTGTGTGCTGTGTGTGTGCAGCTCATCCGTGTGGTGAGTAACTCGGTGAGGATTCAGGGAGCCCTGGCGTACGCCACCGCGCTGCTCATCTTCCTCGGGTACGCATAACGCACATTGTGTGATATGCGTGCCTGTTGTGTTTTGGGTTGTGTATGTGTGTTTGTCTTTGTTGTGTGTATGTGAGTTGTGTCTGTATTGTATGTGTACGTGTGTGTTGTGTATGTGTGTGTGTTATATGTGTGTTACGTGTGTGTTACGGTAGTGTAGTGACTAGCGCGCTGCGCTACGAACCCGGCGACCTGAGTTTGATACCTGGTCATGACCAACAATAGTGACGATTATCTAAACCAGTCCAGGGCCTCTCCTAGGTCTACTCAGCCTCAAATGAGAACTTAGTGTCATGTGTAAACATCGCCACTGGGGAGACAAAGTCGGCCGGGCGTGGTGCTGCCCACCCACCCCCTCATGCACCGTACCGGCCTTCATAGGTGCTCGCTAACAGCACTTGCCCCTACAGTCTGTTAAGACTATATGGCGGATCTTTGTTGTGTGTGTGTTGTATGTTGTGTGTGTTTTGTATATATGTAGTGTTTGTGTGTGGTTTTTCTGTGTTGTATGTTGTGTGTGTTTTGTATGTATGCGTGCTGTGTCTGTGTTGTGTTTGTGTGTTGTATGTATGTGTGTTCTGTATGTTTGTGTGTTGTGTTTGTGTGTTGTGTTTGTGTGTTGTATGTATGTGTGTTGTGTTTGTGTGTTGTCTGTGTGTTGTGTTTGTGTGTTGTATGTGTGTGTTGTATGTGTCTGTGTGTTGTATGTGTGTGTTGTATGTGTCTGTGTGTTGTGTTTGTGTGTTGTATGTGTGTGTTGTATGTGTGTTGTGTTTGTGTGTTGTATGTTGTGTGTGTGTGCGGTGTGCAGGCTGCTGACCCTGAAGGTGCTCACAAGTGTGGTGCTACTGGGGAAGTCGTGTCGTTACGTCCGCAGCGCCAAACTGGAGCACAAGCTCCGCACGCCATGCACCCCGCAGCGCACGCCACACCAGCAGCACCAGCAGCGGGGCACTCACCACGCCGACTCACCCGGTGAGACTCACCACACCACATCACCTGATGAGACTCCTCATGCTGCCTTACCTGGTGATACACCATCGCCACCACCAGGGCCCTCACCACACTGCCTCAACTACTGAGACTCACACCAGCACCTTCCCACACACATCATCTGGTGAGGCTTAGACCACCACCACCAGGGCCCTCACCACACCGCCTCACCTGGTGAGACTCCTCACACAATACAGCCTGATTAAGACTCAGATGGATTGGAGGCAGGCCAGCCTAAATGTTTCTGACCAGCAAAGTTATTCCATTAAGGGGTCCACGTTTCGCAAGCATAGAGAAGGGAGGGCATGGCTATGGCCGAGGAGACCCGAAGCTTCGTGTGGCGTCACACCAGGTCGCTCTACTGAATCGGAGTGAAACCTCTGCTGTCAAACCAGAGCTGGTCATAAGCACGTTGCCCAGGTATGGAAAACTCTCCACTCTCTCCACAACTGCCCCACCTCTTAGAGGCACGCTCCAGATTCAGCAATCACCAAATCATCATCATACGTAAGATGGTTGACCAATAGGGAGCCATCCCTTGACCGCACCCGGGCATCGATCAGCATCCCATTGTATCTGTTCCAGATGGAGATTCCTCCGGTACAGCCATAGAAGGCTTCACGAACTACGTGGTCAAAAAACATGTTAAATAATGTGGGAGCCAGAGGGACATCACTGTCGCATTCCCAAGGTGAACAGGGAATGGCTTCGACTCCCGGCCACGTCGTTTTACCCGGGCCTGCCCGACCTTCATGAAGGTCCTTAATGATTGTCAAGAACTTTGAAAGCACCAACAACAACCCAGACTCACACGATCAAGGCACTCACGACATCACCTCACCTGATGAGACTCATACCACCACCACCAGAGCTCTCACCACACCGCCTCTCCCCATGTCTCACACGCTCTGTGTCTCCCCCTATGCCCCCCCCCAGGCCCAACGTCTCCGCCCCCCACCTCCTCCTCCGTGAGCCCCCCCCTCCCGTTCATGCGGGAGCCATCTCGGTCGCCCTCGTCCCCAGGCGAGTCCCAGGCTTGGGTCCGCTCCCCACGCACGTGCTCACGGGGGGCCGACAAGAGGGGGGCCGCCGGGGTCCAGGAGGGGTCCCCCAGGGGGGAGGGGGAGTCCCCTCAGGGGGGGGGTACCATGGAGACCCCCCACCGCAGGGAGGAGGAACCTAAGACTGACCTGCTGGAGATAGACCGCTTCACCATCTGTGGCAACCGCATAGACTAGCGATGGATAAATACACACACTTATACACGCACACATACACACTCAGAGAAATACATACATACACATGTACACATACACGTGTGCACATATGCACACACAATCTGTGGCAACTGCAGACTAGCAGCGGATAAACACACATCATGCATACACACACTCATATACACACATAGATAACTCAATACATACAATCTAGATTTGAAGTTTTCGTGACTGCAGGGATCCATACTCTTTGGTTCTTTCGGTAAAGTCATGTAGGTATAAAATAAAATAAATTAAATCACGACGTTTCGGGCGCAACACAAGCATCCGTCATTAGGTGGGACAACCACAGCAAGAAACAATTGCTGAAGTGAGCAAAAGGGCTGCTGTAACAAGAGGCTATATAGGTAAGAGAGGGGGGGGGAGGAGCCAGGGAGGAGAGACAGAGAGGGGGTAGGGGGAGTGAAGAGCAGCTAGAAGGGATTAAAGGGCGAGCAATGACAAAATGTGGGGGGGGAAGTGGGCGGGGCTGGGAGTGGGAGGTTGAAGAGAAACTGGAGATGCGGATATGAAGGCAACACCATAAAGCATTTAAGGTTTTACCTGGTGAATAACATCCTTCCAATTATTGCTCAATTTGTATCCATCTTCTTGGTTGAAGTTACGTCTATGTTTATATATCTGGATGGCTTCATGAACAAACCTTTGATAGTAGCCCGAAGGTTTGCAGAGCACCTTGGTCTCGGAAAAAACAATATCATGAGAGCCCACAGCGTTGTAGCAATGGTCAGCCACGTGGCAACATCTACAACCAGACTGCTTAGAGACCTGGGAATTAAGGGCCAGAGCCAGCGTTCGGCAATCAAAGCTGTATCGGAGGCGGCAGAAGGCAGCAGTCAGTGGCTCTGGATGAAGAGGAAAGACCCCAGCTGGGCCCCAAAGTGAGAGGGCCAGGAGGTATGCAGTCAACAATGCTTGACTCAGGGAGGAGGACGCCCCTGCCATGCATAGTCCCATGGGATGTTGGCTACCAACAACAAGGCAACTCCTATGACTAATTGGGAATGGGACGCAAGCGTAGGATTGATCACCCTGTCGCTGGCCGCCTTTGGGGAGGGTGTATAGTATGAAAGGCCGAAACACCCTAGGAACCAAAGGGTCACTACTGACGATGCGCTCCCCAAATTTCACCAGGCTCACTGTTCATGAACTCTTGGAAGTGCTTGCACAAAGGATAGTAACATCTCATCCTGTGTTCTTTGGAATCACGTCGTGATTTAATTTATTTTATTTTATACCTACGTGACTTTACCGAAAGAACCAAAGAGTATCAATACATACACATACACAATACAAAAACAACGCCCACCATTCGCCACTGAGTGGCGGTGACGTCACCGCTGTACCTGTGCCAGGCCAGGTGCATGCAACACATTCACACGCACACTAATACACAACTTTAAAGCGCTTCAGTGTGAGATTTTCATTTATTTATATATTGCCAATGCGAATCATCGTCATCGGAATGATCCTGTACATTTCTCCTGCTTAGACCGCATGGAAGAGAAACGCGTGGGTGCGTGTGGGAACGTGGCCGCTCAGTCAGTATATGAGGGGGTCCCCAGGGGAATCGGTGAAAATGGGGTCCCTATGGGGGGTTCAGTGTAAAGGGGATACCTATGGGAGGGGTAGTCGATGGAAATGGGGGTGCCTAATGGAGAGGTCTGTATCGGGTCGCGGGGATCTCATCATCTGGCAAGACCCCTGTGTATGGTGCTGTGGGGGGTTAATCTGCTGTGGGGGGTTAATCATGGTGACTGGGCAGGAGCTGTAGGTAGCGCTCTTTGTGGGGCTACTGGTGGCGCTACTCGTGGCGCTATCGGTAGTGGTGGTTGTGATTGTGGTGCTGTCATATTGGGCCCAACCTCACCAGCAATAACTTCACTAGCACCGGCCTTACCATCAGTGTGGCTGGCAAGGGAAGTGAGACAGAGGCAGCAAGCGAATGCTAGTGAGTGTGAGCGAGTGTGGGGAGTAGTAGTGTCGCTGTTAGCACTCTGCACTTTGAACCCGGTGAACCAAGTGTGATTTACGCTCACAGACAACAGTGACGATTATTTGAACTGGTCCTGGGCCTCCCCTAGGTCGACTTAGTCTCAAATGAGTACCTTGTGCGGTGTGAACATTTCCACTGGGGAGACAAAGGCGGTCAGGCGTAGTGCTGGCCTCCCACCCCTTTGTGTCGTGGCAGCCTTCATAGGTGTTCGCTAACAGCACTTGCCCCAAAAACACTGTTGAGGCCACATGGGGGATCTTTATTATGAGCATGAGTGAATGAGTGAGTGTGAGCGAGCGTGAGTGAGACCGCGAGTTTATTTAACCGAAGCCTCTGTGTGTTAACTGCGGCAGAAATAAAAACACGAGATGGCATCAATGGTGTCTTATGTCTCTCCTGTCATACCAGCACAGCACCACTGATGATGCTGGTGTCTGGTGGAGTTGGAGGAGGAGATGAATTCATGAGTACTGCACACACGGATTGATTTCTCACTGAATATGTAACTAGCTGCTACGCACGGGTTGGTTAGAGTCCGCCACCTTGACAACTGTAGACCAAACCCGGACACGGTTCTCAACCCAGGTCTATCAAAACTGCAGTATCCTGTAATCCAGTCCGACACAATGTAATGCTGTACAACACAAAACAGGTACCAAATCCCATTACAAATCAATTACTGCCGCCCGAACAACAATTCCACTTTTCCGGACTGTGTGGGTTAAACCCGGGCAGGTGGCTACCCCAATGGTTACAGCCTATACCAATGTTGGCCCAACGTTGGAATGTCGTGGTTCTTTATGTTTATTTTATTTTTATTACTGAAAGAACGAAGATCAAGTCTACATTATAGACTGCCAGTACGCTCACTCGGGTTAAGAACCAGGCTACAGTCTATATCATAGACTGCCAGTACCCTCACTGATGTTAAGAACTAGGCTACAGTCTACATTATAGACTGCCAGTACGCTCACCGAGGTTAAGAACCAGGCTACATTCTACATCAGGGGTCCTCAAACTTTTTAAACAGGGGGCCAGTTCACTGTCCCTCAGACCGTTGGAGGGCCGGACTATAGTTAAAAAAAAACTATGAACAAATTCCTATGCACACTGCATATATCTTATTTTGAAGTGAAGAAACAAAACGGGAACAAATACAATATTTAAAATGAAGAACAAGTAAAGTTAAATCAACAATTCTGCAGTTCAGCCAGTTCCATTTGGTAAATTGTATCCACATTTTCAATGTCAATAGAAAATGGGTTATGGAAAAGCTGTATGTCCTGTTCATGGAGATGAAGCTCTTTAAATCTAAATTGGAACTCCTTTTGCAATTTTTCCAGTGAATCCACACATGTTTTGTTTGGGAATTGCAACCAATGGTTTTTCCGCTAACAGATTTTGAGTTGTGGGGAGATGGCAGAAGTTTTCCTCCTTAACTTGTTTGATGAGGAGGCCTAATTTTACTTCAAATGCATTGACATGTGATTGCATATCACAGAGGAGCTTACCCTTTCCTTGAAGTTGCACATTGAAACTGTTGAGTAGCTCTGTTACATCTGTCAGAAAGGCAAGGTGCCATTTCCATTCTGCATCATTGAGCTCTGGTACTTTTTTGTTTTTTGAAAGCAGAAAAGCTGTAATCTGTGGAAGTAAGTCATAGAAACGTTTCAAAACTCCCCCTCGACTCAGCCAACGGACTTCTGTGTGGTACAGAACATCTTCATAGTCAACATTTAGTTCAGACAGAAATTCCTGAAATTGTCTGTGGTTTAGTGCATGAGCTCTAATGAAGTTAACACAAGATACCACCATTTTCATAACACTACAGTAATTTACTACACAGCGCTTGTTGGTGGATGAGGCAGTGTATGGCTATTGGATGAGAATGGTTATGTTTGTCCATCTCTTGGTTAATGCGAGCAATTACTCCTTTCTTAGACCCCACCATGCTCGGAGCACCATCAGTTGTCACACTGGCTAGTTTAGCCCAATTCAGCTCCAAACCATTCACAGTTTGGCAAACCTTTTCATAGATATCCTCTCCTGTAGTTGTTCCTTTGATGCTTTGCAGTGCAGCAAGCTCTTCTGTGACTTCGAAATAGTCATTCGTCCCACGAATAAAAATTAGAAGTTGTGCAGAATCACGAACATCATTGCTTTCGTCGAGTGCCAAGGAAAAATAGGAAAGTTTTTTTGTGGAGTTTTGCAAATGCTGATGCAAATTGTCTCCCATTTCTTCAATCCTCGGTGTAATTGTAGGTCCTGAAAGACTCACTGTACTAAATAAATCGGCCTTCTTTGGACACATCTCTTTGGCAACAGAAAGAAGGCATTCTTTAACAAATTCTCCCTCCACGAATGGTCTGCCAGTGCACGCTATTAGCTTGGCCACTTGAAAACTTGCTCGCAGTGATGAAATATGTAGCTGCTTCTGCTTCACAAAAGTATTTTGCTGAGTTGTTAATGTATTTTTCAGTTTTTATATTTTATCTTTTCTCACTTCTCCGACCAAACAATGATATTTATCTTTATGTTGAGTTTCATAGTGTCGACGTAAATTGTATTCTTTGAACACAGACACTATATTCTGGCATATCAGACACACAGCTCTTTCCTTGTACTGCATGAAAAAGTAATCATAAGTCCACTGTTCTTTGAATATCCTACACTCCGAGTCAATTTTTCTCTTTCTTGACATCAGTTTCCTAGGGAGTAAAAATTGCTATTAGTAAAATACCAATATATACAGCGCTACAAAAACAATATACCAGCAATAACTTTGCCCACACAGAGACATACAGACTGCACTGCCCATCAATGCAGTCTGATTGGGGGAACTCCGCTTTTACCCCAGGCTCACACTGGTGCCGGTGCCATTAAAAAGTTAATTACACCTGCAGTTTTGTTCACAGATCGCAGTACATCCCCAGCACACAGGAATATCACTGGGACAGGAGCCGAGGGGCAAGTGAGGGAGCTGAGGGAGGGTTGAGCCAGTCAAGCGCAGCCAGGGGAGGGCTGGCAGCCTTAGGCCTGGGGGGCAAGTCCAGTCAATTGGCCCATTAAACCATTCACCAGCGCAGCCCAATGAGTGCCCACCGCCGCAGCTCAATCAGTGCTCACCAGCGCAGCCAAATCAGTGCTCGCCACCGCAGCCCAATCAGTGCCCACCACCGCAGCCCAATGAGTGCTCACCAGCGCAGCCCAATTAGTGCTCACCAGCGCAGCCCAATTAGTGCTCACAAGCGCAGCCCAATTAGTGCTCACCAGCGCAGCCCAATTAGTGCTCACAAGCGCAGCCCAATTAGTGACCATGGGCCGGATAAATGTCCTCGGCGGGCCGCATGTGGCCCGCGGGCCGTAGTTTGAGGACCCCTGTTCTACATTATAGACTGCCAGTACACTCACCCAGCTTAATAACCATTGCTAGTCTACATTATAGACTGATGGTACACTCACCAAACGTAATAACCAGGCTGCAGTCTACATTATAGACTGCCAGTACACTCACTCCGACTAAGAACCAGCCGACAGTCTACATTAGTGTTATTTTTTTTTAATTCACTTTATTATTATTTTTCTATCTACGTGACTTTACCAATAGAACCAAAGAATACGTTCAGGGACGTGCGGTCAGGGGAGGCAGGGGAGGCAGAGCCTCACCTGTCATACTCCAATGAAAATTTCTGTACGATTCCAATCATTTTTATAGTCAAAATCGCCAAATTTACGGAGCTCCACTGTAAATACAGGAAGGGACGAGAGGTGAGGCAGCAACAAGCTCAGTCTCCCCTCTGATTGCGCAACCCCTCAGTAACTGGATGGAGCGTGGGCAATAAGCACGTGCCTGTTACTATCTCAGTATGTCACCAATGTAATGTTTGTAGACCGCTTCATTTCATGTCCTCGCCTTCCATACTCCAGGTAACTTATTTCACGTATGTGTATAAAGATATTTAGGCTCGTTAGTCTCGTCATGAAACTGCAATGAAAAAGCACCAGGGGAGGCAGCTATCACATCTGCCTCACTGAGGGGGACGTGTCTAACACGCCCCCTCAGTGAGGCCACGCCCCCTTCTTGAGGTCACGCCCCCCTCTGTGTGAATCTGGCTCTGACACTAGCCAGTGCCTCCCCAGCCATTGACCTCACCGCACGTCACTGAATACGTTGGAATGTGGTTTCCTTGGACTCCCCAGACAGGTCCCAGATGTAACTGACGGTGAACTGTTTCCTGTTTCAGAATCAGAATCTTTATACCGTTTACCCCCCCCCCCGCCTCCCATGTTGCCCAGACAACTAACGGCCCCTGCCGACACCCACATCCACAACAGCTGCCGTTCGCCACTAAGTGGCAGTCACCTCACCATGACGCTTGTGCCAGACCAGGTGCACTTTGAGGCCACGTGAAGTGTCGAAGGCCCATTGGTAGTAGGTCACGGAATAGACCCAACAGGTGCCATGGGTTGACTGACTGAGATGACTGGCGCAACCCACAGCAACTCATGGCCCCTGGGCCTCAGCGGACATCGGTGGCACCTACACAAGCAGAATCTTGGCGGCCACGATTTATTTACACGGCCAATGTGAGTGCATTACTTTATAACCTCATGAACAAAGGTTACCAATAAACTAGCAGTGTTTGCCACGTGAAGAAATTGGAACTGTTAAAGCAGTGGTGGTGGTCAACAGAGCACAAAGGCATTCCATAAATATAAAATAAGATATCACAACAAATCATAATAGACACCGACATCAGCAGACGGCAACAATCCCCGTTATGGCTGACAGAAAACTAATACAAATCCCCAACTGAGAAGAATTCAAATATTACAAACTCACCGACTTCCACAATATTTGGCGCTCGTGTAGTGACTGTCCTTGTCACTGTGTGGTGCTGGGACTTAAGAAGTCACGGCCGGTAATGTCATTACGGGCAGCCCGGGTTGCGGGCTGCAGTACCAACACTAGCGGTGGTTGGGTGAGCGCTGGTTCGCGTAGAGCAGGGGTCGGCAACCTACGGCTCCGGAGCCGCATGCGGCTCTTTACGGGCTGCTTCTTGACGATATGTACGTATGTACAGTATGTACTCAGATGCATTGCGGCTCTTGAAATACTGAATTTTGTACCGAATTGGAAAGAAATGGCTCTTCTGGTTATTTTGGTTGCCGACCCCTGGCGTAGAGGCACCGCGAGCAGCGTGCGGTGCCGGCTCCCAGTGAGGGAGCGAGAGCAAGCTTCAGCCAGCCAGGGTTACCCTGGGGCATGATACTCTGGATGACCTGTTGTCACGTGGCCGGACGATACTGGAGGGGGGCCACCGGTGGATGGGGGCCGAGGGGCGGTCACGTGGTCCCAAAGAGCTCTCGGGAACGTT